GTAGCGCATGGTTGGGAGGAAAAAGTGCATGTATCTTTACTTCACTCCTCTCTTTTTCCCAGCCCCTCCCTTCACACATAGGCCTTTGGTTTGCTTCCATCTTCTTTTAAGCAGTGCTTGGTTTATTTAACCAATTAATCTCTCTTTTGTGGATGAGCTATTGAGAGCTGTAGTAGTTTGCTTTTAGTATTGTTGTTGCACTTAGCTAGAGACAAACCTTTTTTCATAGTGTCTGCAGGACATACAGACAGTGCAACAGCAAAACAAGAGCAAAAAGCACTTCCTCCCATGACCTTATGGTAACCATACTGATTGAATCCCCAGGGACATTCCATCATTGCAATAGCTCAGATTTTTGTTCCTGTCTTTTTCTTTGCATACCAGCTCTACTCTTTAGTAAAATTGTAAAAGGCTGCCATTATGGACATTAGGTATCCCAACATAACCATCTGGAGTGTGTCCAGTTCGTTCTTCATAGGACCAATTTTTATTTGCAGCTTGAGTTTTTATATGAAGTTGCATTATTGTGGACTTGGCTGTCTTGTGATGAATTTTTTTCATATGTATTCTGTGCCATACTATTGTTAAGATGAACTGTTGCTATTGTGAGATGGATTTTAACTGACCTATTAAGGGTTTCTTTCGAATGGCACTACTTTAGGGACATTCTAGTATTTGCTTCTATTGTTTGGGCCTTGTGGATAATGTACAGATTTCAAAACAAATCTTGTTGCTGATTTGTCCATTTCTTTCCCTGCACTTTGTTACATCTGGGATACAGTCTAACTCATCTGATTTAATATGCATTTAAAAAAATGCCATAACTATTAAACACCTTGTTTACAGACAGATGAAATAAATTTATTCCAACCAAATACTCCAGACTCCTGTTGTTTCTGTAAGTTGTTGGCTTACTGTTAAACAGTTGATTTCTAACACAATGGGGAATATAGAGAATAGGCAAAGTCTGCTGCAAAAATAAAATTTTAAAATAACATTCAGCTAACGGCCTACTTCATTTCAAGTAGTTATTGTAAATAAAACGTGCCTGGGAGTATTTTTTAAGTGGGCTTTGATTTAAAATGGCTTTTAGTCATTTCAGGCTTACGTGCGAAAAACTTGACTTATCAGCTAAAAATAAATATTTTCCTTTTCTTGCTGGTCTCTCAATGTAAAATCTGAGGACAATAAAGACCCCCACACCAAGGGTTTCTGCATTATATGGAGTCCTCTATATTACAGTGTCATCTGACTTTAGGTTTGGAGGCTATTTTGGCAGGCTGAAGTCAGCCAGCTGGGTTCCTTTCACGTAAGAGCAGAAGACACTTCTTAGGCAGCATGTAATAGAAATAGGATGTATTTGCATTTTCTGGTTTTGGAGTAGTGACCTTAGGTATGTAATAGGTTTAATCCCAGAAGCCATAAGATTCCTGGTATGTATCGAAAAACTTTGTAAATTTGGACTATTCTGATCAATCATTATTGCCATCAGCCATCAAGCAGAAACATAGAGCAGGGGTGCTCACAAGTTAGTGGACTTAGGTGAAACTGATAAATTAGTTATAATGCAGATTCTGGACTTTGGGGGTTCACCCTGGAGGTAGAGATTCCATAAGCCCAGGAAATCCCTGTGTCAGTCTGGTTCATTTTAAGTGGCCTGTATGCTATTCCTTGAGAAAACAGTGAGTTAGGGAATAAGAATTAATATCTTTGCCTTATATAAAATATACTGTGTATAACTAAAATTTGTTTCAACAAATTGTCAGGCATCAGTTCTGGATTTGATTGTGCATGTGGAAAATACAACTGCTTTGGAAGTTGGACATACAATAAAAACGTGGTATCACCTTGATCCGTTAAGATTGCTGTTAAGGTTGGGCAAGTAAAAATTTGGTAGTTGGATTGTGATGATCTGAGATTTTTTAGTAATATACATTCACACTTGAGTTGTAAAGAACTATTAGCATGACTAAATAAAGTGATGGTCAAAACTGTCAAACCCTTACTTATAAGTAGGCAAAGGGAGGGGTGTGTGCAGTACAAGTGTCGGTAAGGGAGTAGGAGAAGGTAAAGGGTGACTGTATCACTAAAACAGTAAATAATGAATCTAATCATTGGCCTATGGACAATTACAGTAGAAAAACACTTCAGGAAATACACACGTGTACTTTGTACTTCTAGGAATTTTGCTGATGAAGCTATATAAATTTGTATACCAGAAAAGTCCATTACACAGCATTACTTAGGTTAGCCGAACTTATAAAACTTCTACAAGGTACTTTTAAGGGGTATGTGAAGAATGACAGAAAATGCTCAGCAATGAATGTTAAGTAATATGAGGATGTAAACAGGCGTTATATACAGTGTAAATACATACAGTATATGATACATGTGTGTTTTACATGTGTATTTCTGAAGGTAAGGTACCAAAAGGTACATTTTTCTCTGAGATAAATTTCCAGGTAACTGTATTTTGGTATCCTATGTTTTAAATATTATTCTTATAATCAGAAAATTTTTGATTTTTCTTTTTTTTTGTATTTCAAAATATGGGGATACACGTTTTGGTTATATAGTTTGCTTTTGAATATTTAAAATCATAGTTGTGTCCCTCACTCAAAGTGTGCAATATGCTTTTTGGGTGGGGATTTACCCTTCTCCCTGCTCCCACAGAAAAATTTTGCTTTGTATTTTATTTATTTATTTATTTATTTGAGATAGTCTCAAGCTGTTACCCTGAGTAGAGTGCTATGGCGTCACAGCTCACAAACTTTTGGGCTTAAGTGATTCTCTTGCCTCAGCCTCCCAAGTAGCTGAGATTAGCCTGCCACAACGCCTGGCTTTTTTTTTTTTGCAGTTGTCATTGTTTAGCTGGCCTGGGCCGGTGCGAACCCACTACCCTCGGTGAATGTGGCTGGCGCTGTAACCACTGTGCTCTGGGTGCTGAGCCTACAGAAAAATTTTAAGTAAGGTTTCTTTGTTTGTTTTTTCAAAGACAGAGTGTATCAAGATGTCACCCTGGGTAGAGTGCCATGGTGTCACAGCTGAGAGCAATCATCAACTCTTGGGCCTAAGCGATTCTCTTGCCTCAGTCTCCCAAGTAGCTGGGACTATAGGTCCCCTGCCACAACACCAGGTATTGTGTGTGCGTGTGGCAGTTGTCATTGTTTTAGCTGATGCAGCCAGGTTCGAACCCACCAGCCTCAGTGTATGTGGCCAGTGCCCTGCCCACTGACCTATGGGTGCCGCCTTAAACAATGTTTTTAAAAATAGAAATTAGGGGCTCTGTGGCTATGGCTCAAGCGGCTAAGGCGCCAGCCATATACATCTGAGCTGGCAGGTTCATATCCAGCCTGGGCCTGCCAAATAATGATGGCTGCAACCAAACAATAGCTGGGCATTGTGGCAGATGCCTGTAGTCCCAGCTACTTGGGAGGCACAGGCAGGAGAATTCCTTGAGCCCAGGAGTTGGAGGTTGCTGTGAGCCATGATGCCATGGTCCCAGGGGGACAGCTTGAGGCTCTGTTTCAAAAAAGAAAAAATAGAAATTAGGGGGGCACCTGTGGTTTAAGGAGTAGGGCACTGGCCCCATATACTGGGGGTGGCAGGTTCAAGCCCAGGCCCGACCAAAAACTCCAAAAAAACAAAAAATAGAAATGAGACTTTAATTTTATTTACTGTCTTATTCAAAAAGCAGTATGGTTATACTGTGAAATTACAGAATATTTCAAATTAATATTAAGAGAAGCAAGAACTAGCCAGTGCTGTTAAATAAGACACTTGATAATTTTCTTTTTGCAACTAAAAGTAATAGTTTGGAATTTCAAAATTCTTTTCTTGCTCCAGAAACACTCATAGCTTACAAGAACCAGATCCTTGAACTGAACCATGAATTAAAGATTGAGGAAATACAACATTTAATACAATTACACTGTTACATGTTAATTGAATTTTAACTTTCCCTTTTTACTTTAAAATGCTGTATTAGGTATGAAGTTTTTATTTTAATCATTTTGAAAGCTGTCACTTACGGTACATTTATGTGCTGACACTGAACACAGGGTTTTGTCCTCACGTGCTACCTTAGGTTAAACTGTGCAAATGCCCAAACAGGTTTAAGAAGGTTAGGGCCATACAAATACATTGTATTGCAAACTGCTTAACTACCGTGGTACACTTTGATGTCTTATTTCTCAGGCCCATGTTTTGTTTTGTTTTTGTTTTTGTTTTTAAAGAAAAGGGAAAATGGTAGATATTGAACCTTTTATTTTCTAAAGTAGACATATTTTTAAAAAATTTTTTGAAAAACCAATTTAATATGAAATTGACCCTCCTATTGTTACATTTCTTTTAAAATGCAGTTTTTAATGAGAAAAGGCTCCACATATCTAATATGCTTACTACTCTATGCCATGCCTTTATTCATTAACAATTTCAATATAAATGTATCTGTAATACCTACTTCGTTCTTTTTTTGAGACAGAGTCTCACTGTATCACTCTGGGCAGAGTGCTGTGGCATCATGGCTCACAGCAACCTCAAATACTTGAGTGATTCTCTTGCCTCAACCTCCCAAGTAGCTGGGACTACAGGTGCCCACTATGGCACCTGCTACAACGCCCGGCTATTTTTTGGTGGTAGGTGTTGTTTGGCAGGCCGAGGCTGGGTTCGAACCCGCCAGCTCCAGTGTATGTGGCTGGCGCCCTCGCCGCTGAGCTATAGGTGCCGAGCCACCTACTTTGATCTTTCAAAGCTATATAGAAGTCTGCTGTAAAGATGTACCATAATTTACAATAGGGTACCATAATGTACCATTTGGTGTTCAGTGATTTGGGCTGCAGTCTTAACTGATTTGTGGGGATTACTCAGTTGCCTGAGGGCAGTTTACCTTGTGTAAAATTATAAGGTCACATGTGCTTGTGACTTCAGTCATTATTCCTTTACAGCAGTAAGGCTAATGTGGTAAGTAATACTTCAGTAGAATGAACATTTACTTGTTCTTAAAGTGAAAAACATGTTTATTAACATTCAAACTCCCCTCATACAAGGCCATATAAAATTCTTAGCATTTTGATTATACATTAGTCTATATTTTCTACATAGTTACAGTGATGTATAATATAATTTACTTTTCATAATACATTGTTTCAGTACATCATTAGTTCTGTTAAATATAAGCACTTTCAAATTCAATACTTGAACAATTTCCTTTGTACATAGTTTAGCAGGACTAATTAGCATAAGTTGCTTTTTATTAAGAGGTATATGATCTGAGTATTAACAGTTGCTGAAGTTTGGTATTTTTATGCAGCATTTTCTTTTTGCTTTGATGATAACGCCACAAAACTCTTAAGTATAATTCAGTAAGTAATGTCCAGTACTTAGCCAGTACTTAAACGGCTGAATCAAATTCATACATAACACTATAGTATTAATAACATTAAAAAAAACTTTTGAAATCTGCACTAGTACAGACTGTTCCTATCAGGATAAGACTACTTGGGAATGGGAAGGAAAAAGCTTTCAGTTTCTTTGTGCTGATAAGAGGAAAAATGCTAAATTACCTTGTTGCCTTTTACTAATGATGGCAATTTGGGGAAATACCAGAACAAATATATTCCAGCTCAACAACTCTAGATAACTTTATGGAGGTGGAAGTTGGCTTAGCTCATGCTAGGTGGCCACAGCACTGACCTGGTGTGTGAAACACAAAACGTTTGCATACTTGATCTAGCTCTTAATTGCAAGCTACACTGAGGATTTTTTTTTTAAAATATTTTGGCTAATATTTCATTCCAAAAGAACTGATAAGATGCTTGAGTTACAGCACCAGTCTATTTGTGAAATGAAGTATACTCCTGCAGATAAATACTGGATCAAAAAGCCTGTTTTCAGTATTCAGATTAAATTGCAGAATACTAAAAAATAAGTTATTTCTACAGAAGTCTCTGAAGGGAGCAAAAAAATCAAATACAGTATGTACCTAAGTTTTTCAAAGAGAAATATACCAATTACATTCTAAAGGTCAAACAGTATTTGCTATGTTGTAATCCCGTTCACCATTAGGCTGCAATTGGACCACGACACTGTGTTCATTAATTTCATTTTCTGCATCACTACTGTCGGTCTCTTCATTGTCATCTTCCTCGTAGTCTGAAGATTCTGTCATGTTCTGATGTGAATGAGATTCTGACAGCGCCCCAAACGACTGAGCACTGACAGAAGCTAAAGGTCTAAGTAAAGGGGTGTGCTCTGACACTTCATTTTCTTCTTGACTACTATCTGTGTCAGAGTCTGAATCACCTTGAGAAGGAACAACTTTTTGCTTGCAGACTGGACACGTTTTTTTAGTTTTAGTTAGCCAAGGGTCTACACACTTGCAGTGATAAGCTGTTGAAACAAAATATACATCTTCAGTTAATATGCTACGGTTGAGAATATATTTAATTTCTTGTCTTATTCAGTTTTTTCTGTGAATCATGTAGGGACAGGAGAAGAAAAGTTTGTAAATTTTCACAAATATACCTCCATCCTTTAACGAGACCATTAATTAGTATAGGGCCTGGGTTATGGAGTGCTAATAAGTATTTTCTGTCTCTTCCCCTGTAATACTGAACCTAAATATAAATTAGTCTATGTGTAAATTCACAGCAGAATGCAATTACTCATACCATGGGAACAGGGAAGGATTCTGAGCTTGTCTCCATCTTCATACTCATCCAAACAAATGGCACATACATCATACTCATCTCCTGTAACAGAAAATTGTAAATAAAATAACATAGAGAAGTATTCTAAAGTTTTCAAATGTTTCAAGTTAGGTCTTTCTCAGTTGTTTTAAACCTGGTTCGATTTATTTATTAATAGTCATGACTTTTGTTTGTTTTTTGGTCAGACTCAAAGATCTGCTTTGCTGTTGAGACTCTAGGACCTGAAGTTTTAATTTACCCTTTTACCTAAAAATACATAATTATAAATTATGTCAAATTTGTTAACTTTAACTTTGCAAAAGATTCTAATAAGAATCATAATTTATGTAGCTTTATTCAGATGCTAGTTTTGAAATATTTTATGCCAAAGAACAAAATTTCACTGTTCATAAAATTTTAAAGTCTTTGAGCCATTTTTAAAATAAAAATGGAAACACGTTGGCTGGGCACAATGGTTCACAACTGTAATCCTCATACTCTGGAAGGTTGAGGTAGGTGATCATTGGAGCGCAGGAGTTTGAGACCTGCCTGAGTAAGAGCAAGACCTGCCTGAGTTTGAGACCTGCCACATCTCTACTAAAAATAGAAAAATTAGCAGGGAATCATGGTGATGCCTATAGTCTCAGCTACTCAGGAGGCTGAGTCAAGAGAATCACTTCAACTCAAGAGTCTGAGGTTGCTGTGAGCTACGAAGCCATAGTACTCTACTGAGGGCAACAAAGTGAGACTTTGTCTCAAAAAAAAAAAAAAAAAAAAGGTAAACATGTTAGAACATACTCAAACTTTTAAATCAAGTATGGTAGTAGGCTCGGCGCCTGTGGCTCAAATGGCTAAGGTGCCAGCCACGTACACGTAAGGTGGTAGGTTCAAATCCAGCCCAGGCCTGCCAAACAACAATAATGGCTGCAACCAAAAAATAGCTGGGCATTGTGGCGGGCACCTGTAGTCCCAGCTACTTGGGAGGCTGAGACAGGAGACTTGCTTGAGCCCAGGAGTTGGAGGTTGCTGTGAGCAGTGAAGCCATAGCACTCTACCCAGGGGGACAGCTTGAGGCTCTGTCTCAAAAAAAAAGTATGGTAGTAAACATAAACCAATTTGAAAGGAGACATACTGGGCTTCATATCTCCAGCATTGACCAGTTCTGTGGTGCTTGACAAACTGCTTAGCCTTTGACATCCAGATCTTTATGTATAAAAAGATTTTATCATTGCAGGTTGTAAGGATAAAATGAGATGATATAAACCAAAGGCCAGGCATGTAGTGTTCAATAAATGGTGGTACGTACTATATCATTCCCATTGTAATTGTCTTACTGTTGAATATATCATTTTTATAATCCTGGGAGTTTATTAATAGCTCTTTTTTGGAGTTCCAGTCTAGTTATAAGTCTTTAAAGGAACTGACAGTCCTTTGAATACGTCAGTTAATACTGGTTTAGGCACCACTGTTAACGGCTTTCAATTCAGTATTTTCCATTAAATAAATGTTAGGTTAAAAACTTACAAAAATCTTGAAAAGACAGTTAAATTCATTGCCTGTCCCATAAGGAGGGACAACCACCTTAAGAGACATACAGAAATAAATATATAATCTGGATGAACAGGACAAATAAACAGAATGATAGTTCTGAAACAGTCTCTTTAATGTTTTTTAGTCATTTAAAACAGCACATTCAGGAGGAGTCCTAAATAGAAAGTTTTAATGAAAAGTATTAAATTTTGTACAGCATCTTGAAATTGGTCACTGAAGTATCACCTATCCAATACATTTTATAACAAATGCCTATCTACATGTATGTTAGAACCTTGTTTGTGAAATTTGATGAGACTGATTAGCCTAAACTTTTAGAAAACTAAAGGACACCTGATATATCTATAAATATCTGTAATTATACAGATGGTCCATGTATATGGACTTTGAGGACTCAAAGATCTGAGTATAGGGCCTGGGTTATGGAGTGCTAATTTTTATATAATTAAAATAATATAATTCTAATATATTCAGTAATTCAATCATGACTGACTTCTCATAGCAAACTTTCAGTCTCATCACCTTGTGAAAATGTTTACTAAAAACAAATTAATACAGGTGTCTAATACAGACTGTGGCTCAAAGCTGTTCCAAGGTGTTAGATCTGGCAGAGGACAAACAGGTAACAAGGAAGTGGCTAAGGGTGGAGAGTAGGAATCAAATTACAGCTGGGAACTATTCCCTGGTGGTTAACGTACACAGTAAGGAGTTCTTGGTGACCTTCAACTGACCTAGGACTCATTACCACCTAAGTAGCATAGCAAGCGTAGAGCTTTCCTGAAGAATTCTGGAGAAGACTCATGCATAGAATACGGAATCTTACTGTTATATAATCCCAACCTATCAGTCACCCCAAAAGTCAGGACACAAAAATCAATCCTGCCAGGAGAAAGGTGGGACAACTGGTGAGCTTATAAAATGCAGCCTGTGCTCAGCCTGAGGGGCTTTCTCATTTCACTTTGTGTGTGGCTTCCTTCTTTATTTTTACTGTAATAAAGCATGTGGGATTTCTTCTGTGATCAGTCTGTCATTGGGTCAGCTCAGTACCAGTTACCAGTACTCACTCATGGTTGGGAAGTGGGGGACCAGGAACGTGGGAACAAACCTAATAAAGGCTCTAAGATTTATTTTATTAAGGTAGGGAGATTAGTGCTGTTATTTACATAAGGCCCAGTATGATCACAAGGGTCTTTATAAGTGGAGGAGGGAAGCAGAAAGTTCAGAGTCAGAGGAAGATGTGACTAGGGATGAATGCTCAGGGAGATGTGACTATTGGCTTTGAATATGAGGGTCACAAGCCAAGGACTGTTGAGTGGAATGGTTTTTCCCCTAGAAATTCTAGAAAGTAGCACAGCCCTGCCAGCACCTTCATTTTAACTCCATGAAACTTCCTTCAAACTTTTAACCTATATATAATAAACTTAGGTTGTTAAAGCCATTAAGGTTGTGGTAATTTGTTAGGCACAGAAACAGGAAACTAATATAGGTAGTAAGTATTTGGGTTCTCTTTAACCCTTTCCAATCCTACACGGGACCTGGTCCAACATAATGGTTTTTTTAATAAACAAAAGTAAATAAAAATATTTTATGTTACCTAAAATAGATGATAAAATCATCAGGTCAGTTTATATTTATGTTTTTCTGTTTTAAAACTGTAGGATATTTACAAGTAGTCCAAACTGTTTTCCGGCCTCAACTAAGAGGTGGGGAGTATGTGGTTGGCAGAAACATTAGATTGGAAAGGGTTAAATCAGTGGTTCTCAATCTTCCTAATGCTGTGATGTATTTTCATTGTTACAAAGGGGTTAAATATATAGAATTGATGCTTTGATGTCACTGAGCTTTCAAATCAATCTTTGAATTGTTTCCAGTGATGGAAACACTTTAACACATATTAACATACTTGTCTTACGGTTGTTGTAAGGATTAAAAGATAATGCAAGTAGAGATCTTTACATAGTGTTGGGCACATACAGTACCTCTTAACCAATTTCCCAGTGGTAAAATTAGTTAAAAGCATACTGACTCATCACATGGCATAAGGCTGTGGCTAGAAGGTGCTCATGTCCTACCTGTCCCACCAGATGAACTGTATGCTGACAGTGTTGTACTTAGGGTAGTTATGACACATAGTTAAATATTCAGCACCCCTTTTTCTGGGAGTGTAAAAGACTACTGATTTTATTTGAAAGTTAGTTTGAATGCATTAGAAACATTTTAAAAAGCTAGTTGCTCCCTCTACCTCATCCCCAGTCAAAATGTGGTTAAATTTGGTATGGCTAAGAAAACTAAAAGATTAGACAAACTTATATATTAATAAAAAGCAAGAAGGAAAGTAGAATCTAGTTTTTGTCTCAGTTTAAGTACCTGAAACTAAAAATGGTAGCAAATGCATCATGTACCATCATAATTTGGAAATCCAGTCAGTGGAGGCTATGGTCCAACATAAAGTAACTTATATTTATATTTAACTTAAGTTTAGGACATTTATATATTTTTATGACTTACAACCTTAGCAGAGTATAATAATTTTTCTACTGGTTCTGGTAGCATAAGATAAAAGGCCTATAATAAGTGCTTAATAAATGTTAGTTTTATTACTATTAGCATCATACTAGACACAGTTTTTTTTCTTTTTTTTTTTTTTTTTTTTCCTAAAACTGTGGTTCTCAAGTGGAAACAGCCTTTCCCCCCAGGGACGTTTGGTGATACCTAGAGACATTTTTGGTTTTCACAACTGGGAGTTGATGTAGATCAAGAACATTGTTAAATATCCTATAATGTACTAGTCAATCCTACAAATAGAATTATTCCATCTACAATGTCAGCATTGCTGAGGTTGAAAAACCCTGATATGAAGTACTCCAGCCTAACAAAACATTGGTAATTCTCTAGTGGATAAGATGTCAGAAGTTGGGGGAGGAGTGAGAATCAGGTCTGTTATGTAAAACAGTGTAGAAACGCTTCTGTCTGGCATGTTTTTGTCATTGTTGTTTCAATAAAGTATCAGAAAAATTTCATGAAGGTACTTTTGGAAAAGTCTCATCAGAAGATGGCTGACCAGAGACACCAGCTGCCAGAGCATCTAAGAAAGAAGGAAAAGTTTTAGATGAAAAAAAACTGACAAATATAGATTGAGTGTTAATTCCAAGGGAAAAGCGCCAGAACCTACAAGAGATTCCACAGGAATAAGTTGTGACACAGAACAAGAAGGAGCAAAATATTGGCAGAGGTCAACCCCCAGGAGGCTTGGAGTCCAGCAAAAAGGGCAGGTGAGTAGGTTTGTTTTCTCCCTCACATCTCCAGAAGGCAGTAGGCTTCTAGGCTTCTGGAGAGCTTTTCTACTCTCATGAGCCCCAAAGATGCTGCCACCAGTGCACCAGGAGCTTCCTGAAGACAAAGCCCCAGGCTGCCAGCCCCCTTGAGGCACTTCTCATCACCACTGACCCCATCTAGATGGCAGGCACCATGTTGTTTCTCCACTCCTGGTGTGCCTTTGTCCTCTCCAGGGG